CACAAGAAGGGCCCAGGTGCCAGGTTACGCTTGGATTTTATCCTTAGGAGCCAGGTTGGCCGCTGAGCTGCACAAACAGATTTTCATTCCAAATAGGATCTGGCAGCTCAGGGAAGAAGGGGCTGGCGAGGAAGCTGAAAGAAAGGTAAGCAGAGTAGCAGGGAAGCTATCGCCGAAACCCAGGTGAGAAATGAGCCAAGAAGAAAGACAGGTGGATGGATTCGAAGCACAGTTAAGAATAAGGCTTGACAAGACAGGGGGACGCATCTGTCTCGTGAGTGTCTGATTACCTGTCTTGCTCAGACATTGGGCTGTGCCTCAGGCACACGAAGAAAGAAGACAACACAGGCACCCATCCAGAGGATCAAGTTTAGGAATACGGAGGCAGAGACTTCGGTGGGAAGATGTGATGAAGACGTGACTTTGAACCTGTTGAGTTTGAAAGTGGGTTGCAGGAATACGGAGGCAGAGACTTCGGTGGGAAGATGTAAGTGGGATGTAAAGTAGGCTGCTGTACAGAGATAACCAGTATGAGTCATTTCTCTTTGACTTGAGGATTGAAAGCAACAGCAACGTACCATCCCAGAGCCATGGAACTGGTGTGTGTCCTCCACAACAGGGGTCCCCAACCCCTTGGCTGTGGATTGGTACCGGTCTGGCCTGTTAGGAACCAGGCCACACAGCAGGAGGTGAGCGTCAGGTGACCGAGCGAAGCTTCATCTGTATCTGCAGCCGCTCCCCAGCGCTAGCATCACCGCCTCAGCTCCACCTCAGATCATCGGGCATGAGAGTCTCATAGGAACACCGGTCCCTGGTGCCACAAAGGTTAGGAACGCTGCTATAAAAGGCCCTTAGAGGTCCATGAAGAGACACTTTTCCTTGGAGTGCAGGCTCAGGTGCCAGGCTGTCTGGGTTAAAATCATGACCCTGCTACTTGCTAACTATACCATCCCAGGTAAGTCCTACCTTCCTTATGCCTCTGCATCCTCACCTGTAACAGGAGCATAACGAGCGGGCTTACCTTTCAGGGTTAGGTTGTGAGGCTTAACCCTAATAATACATGCAGTGGTCTTCGACTATTGTCTCTGGTGCATGTTTATATTCAGCACGTCATTTTTCTTCATGACCCGAACGGGCTTAGAATGCACACATGCTGGAAGACCAGTTCATGGCCTATGCTGGTGAAGCAGGGCCTCACGTTCGATCCCAGAGGCCTCCATTTTGATTTCTGTGTGGCAGTGTGGCATTAAATCATCACCTAGCTATTCTTTGCTTTTATAAAGAAGTGTCTGATGATAAACTCTCACTCACCTGTTTTCTTGCTTAAACCTCAATTCCAACTCCACTGTGTTAGAATGTGTGTAATTGATGATTTTAAGTTATATACAACTGTATTTTCTTTTATTATTAGGCACTGAAAGGCTATAACACAATCCATTTTTATCTTTAAAAAAAAAACCCGAACTATTTTACCACTCTCTTTCTTCCAAACAACATTGTCTATCAAGAGTCATTCGGGCACACACAAAGCCAAACCACAACGCAAACGGAAAAGACATCTGTTGGGAAGACAGCAGACGGTTCCAAACCTAATGAATTATTTTTGCCCAAAAAAGCTGTCACGGTGAGCAGCCCAGGCTCCTGACCAAGACTGGAGCCCTCCAGGGGCCGGAGCGGATTGTCCCAGCAGGAAGAAAGGAATCCATCATTCTAATATGTATGTGAATGTTCAGGTGCACCGCCTGGACCACCCCCTGGAGTCTCTCACAAGGACGGCTCAGGCATCGCGCGAGGGCACCCTCTCCTGGCCGAGGGCAGAGCCTCCCCCTCGGAACACGCAGTGGACCCTGCAGCGCAATGGTGCAGGCTGGGAAACAGAAGCTGTGCTCGAGGACCGCTCTCCTTACAAGAGCGACGGGACCTTCCTTCTGTTGGCGGCCCTCAAAGTGAGCTTGAAGCTCAAGGGTCAGGCTATTTTCAAAGGTTCTTTGTAGCTCCGAGTCCTCTTACTGGAGGCCTGGAAGGTACTGGCGCCGATGGAGAGAATTCTTGGGAACAGGACGGCACAGAGGGCCCTGGAGGCCAAGTTGGCACAACACGCATGCGGCTAACGTGCCAGTTCAGCTAAGTCAGTTCAGCCCCTGGTCCAGAGCGCCTGGATGAGGACCGCGTCCGCCGCGGCCACGGACAGACTCTGTCCCTCCAGTCTCGCCGCTTCATCTAAACATTTGCACGTCACAGGCGAGGACAAGGCCGCCCTGCTCCCTTAGAGGTTGGGCTGCTCCAGCGCCAGGTGACCTCTTAGAGAAAGCAGTTTCCCTTCCGGTGACACAAACTGATTTAAGATGGAAAATAGAGGAACTGAAGGGAAATACACAGGATTTCATTACAACATTGGATGTCCGGGTTTGAGGCTGGGGTGAAGGTACGTTTTCAAGTATCTTCCATGTGCCAAGAAGAATGCCAGGCGAGGGAGAGAGAATGGACGGCAGGCCCATGCATCTTGGAGCTGTCTGTTCATTGGCGGGTGGGGACGGGACTGTTAAAAACACATAAATAAAGCGGTAGATGGCAAGCGTGCTCTAAAACGGACATAGAAACAGTACGATCTGGGCACAGAAGAGATTATATAGCTTGGCTGGGGTGATTAGAAAAGGTTTAACAGAAGAAAGCTGATATTTGAACCGCATCTTGATACCCCGAAATGATGTAAGGGGAGATGCTTATCAGACTGAGGAAACCGTGTAAAGGTTTGAGAGATCGGAGAGGCCATCTGGGGAGCTGTGTGTTTGTGTGTGTACATGCTCATGCACACTCGTAAGCGCGATGAGATAGAAGGAAGCGATGCCCCATGGCCAGTGGCACATGGACTGAAGAACAGCAGAACCTGAGGTCAAGGCCAGACTGGGAAGGCATCTGCTCAGAGGTCTAGACCTGCTCCTGCAGGACACATGGTGACACCAACTGTCAGCAGATTCCACTCTGGGGGATCACGGAAGCAGAATCCTTAGCAGGTCACAAAAAAGCATGGAGCTTCTCTACCCACATTAGGACCATCCCAGCGTGAAAAAAAGTGAGCTCCCTACCTTTGCCCATCAGAGAAGGGACGCGAGGCTGCCCAAGAAACCTGCAGGTCTCCCACAAGCCCTCTGTCCTCAAGTCCTAGCCGTGTCATGCAGAGAACCAGCCGACAGTTGGTATAGGACAGCCGCGTGCATGGCCTGGCCCCAATATCGCCTCTCTAGACGCCCGTCCGCTCGGACACTGCAGACCACATCTGCGTCCTACCAGAGCCCACAAGTCCCTGAATTTCTTCAGTGATCTCATTTGGCTCTGAGTGGGTAGAACATGGTATTCAGAACAATTCACCAGAGTGGTTTGGCCAGCGACAGACACATCTGGCCAGTCTGGAAGAGCCACTCCCGTGACTCTCTGGAGTTGAATTGCAAATGAGCCCATCACACTCGCAGGCTGAAAATCGGTGAGCTGTGACCCAGATTGGCCTCCCATCCTAGTGGGAAGGGGAGTCTGTTCTTTCTTCCACCCCCACTCCCTCCAAGCAAACTGCTCCTCAGCTGACTGGCACCTGGGCTCAGTGGCTCAGGGTGGGATCCCAGGGGTGCCAGCTCACTCCTCCTGTTTCCAGAAGTGCCTCTGGCTTCTAGGGATCCTCTCCATCTGCGTACCCGATAGACTCCCCCATATTCAACATGGCCCCACATTGCACTCATTATCTCTCCTTTCACCGTGGATCTGCTGCTCTTCAGCTATGATAATGCCACACCCAGGATGTTCTCCAGACTACTGAGCGGCCAGCACCGCGAGGACGCCACACACAATCAGCCGTTAGCGAACGGGACATCGGTCCTGAGGCAAACGTGCTGACATCAGCCCCGGATGTGCCTCTGGCACAGCTTTGTTCCCCAGCACATTGAGAATCAAGTTCAGCCTTTTCATCGAGGCGCATCTAACGTGGCTCGGTCAGATCGACGCCAGTCTTTTCGATGTCAACACCGGTCATTCTCCTTTCCCCACATGCAAACACGTCTTTTCAACCCCTCGCACTAAACATTCTCTTCCAAGCGCTCACCCCATCGCAGGCCCTTTGCACGAACGTTCCCCGGTCCCTGGCATGTTTTCCCTTTTAGTTTTTACCAGAAAACTCTTGTGCATCCATCACGAATCATCTAAATTACTGTTTTCTCTTAGTTGGCTTTTCCCACTATCGCTGTGCCCATTAGATTAGGTCATTCTGTATTGTCCTCTGCATAGATCGCTCCATAATGGCCTGTGCTGCTACAATAAAATGTTTACTGTTCATCTCTTCCACGGAACCGTGAGCGACTTGAGGACACAGAATGAGTCTTTTTTTTTTCTCTGCATCTTTAGAGCTTCATAAAGGACATGACACATGGCAGGTATGTAATATACTTGTCACACAGGTGAATCAATAAATAGACCATGTTCCTGGTGTCTCCTGAACACACCACACAGAAATTTACCTGCCCTGGTCACTTCCTATCGGAAACACGCTCGATGACTAGAAGGTAATATTGAAGATGGAGAAGTTCAAGGATGTTGTCAGCTTGGATTTGAACTGTGTCTGTTCTTTTCCTGAAACCTCTCATGTATGTCACAGAAATCTGAATGCCTGAATGCAAAGGGTGGATGTGTGATTTCTAAACGACGGCAAGGAAATTTGAAAAAAGTTGGAAAAATGAGGCCCTGTCAATAATGACACCAAGCATAACACAGCACACATGCCTTGCTCCTAGGCCTGGGTCTAAACTATGGGCAAGTTTTGCTCTGTGGATTATGTGAGTAAAACAGCCTAATTACGAAGCAGCCAGCCCCTGTGCGTGGCGAAGCCAGCACAGAATCCAGAAATAGGGTGGCCGAGCTCACACGGCCTGGCTTTTCGCACCGACACCGTGGTGCGCGTCTGAGGGTGAAGACACAGCACAGCTGCCAGTCCAGTGGCCGGAGACGCGAACTCGGGGCTAGGGGCTGACTCTTCCTCCCTGTCCTGGCCCCTCCTCTTCTTCCTCCCCCTCGTCCTTGTGGAAGGCCCACTCCCGGATCTGCCGGTCCAGCTCGGAGCAGCTCCCTTCCTGGTCCGAGCTGCTGTCCGTGTTGTAATCGACCTCCTCCATGCAAGGGGGCTCATCATCCAGCTCTGAGGAGTCGCTGCTGCTGCTGCTGCCGCTGCCGCATCTGCCACGGGCTCCCGGAAAACATGGAGAAGAGAGGAGAAGAAGAGAAGGGAGGAGAAGGAAGGAAACATACGGTGGAGGGAGGGGCACGGAAAGAGGGTTTTGACAGAGGAATAAAGGCAATTCAATGGAGAAAGGATAGAATAATCTGTTCAAGAAATGCTGCTGGAGTCATTGTACATATACGTGCGAAAAGGAGGAGGAGGAGGAGGAGGAGGAGGAGGAGGAGGAGGAAATGAAAAGAAACGTTACCCAAAGGTAAGAACATTCACAAGAGGTTGGACAAAGAGAGCGTTGCATGCACGGTACCCTGACCTCAACCGTCACCTTGACACTGAGACAGAGGAAGGAAATGGTAGAAAATCGGCGGCTTCCTTCTTCCTTTGCCAGCAGAGTCTGCCCTCCTAAGTCCCATCGGAAGATTGACAAGTCACAGCGTGTGGACGGCCTCACGCACTTAGAAAGCTTCGGTTTCAAAGTGAACAACTCCGAGGTGGCCACCACGGAGTGTCTGAGATGGCCATGGCTTTCGTCCACCCCCAGGAAAGGGAGAGGTTGGAATTTGGGTAGGCAGGACTCAAAATCCCTCACGCTTCCCACTCTAACAGCGCTGGGAGTCACATTGCATAGTCCTCCATCATGACGAAGGGTTTGTTGGAATTAGAAAATTAATCCAGGTGGAAATTAATAAGTGAGAGAGTGAATTAATAAATGGGAACAGCTCCCCTTTGTTGTCTCCCCCCACCTCCCTTCAATTTATTTACAAATGGACGACCAGCAGGAGATGCAGGGAGGTGACAGGGACAGACAACAAACCTCGGCCATGTCTTGCAAACGAGGGGGATTCCCTTCCAAGGAGCTGTGTATCTCTTATTTGCATGCGGTGCCTTTCTCATCATTCCCTACTTAAGACTTCACCAATTAGGATTAAGAGCGTGCTGGGTCCCCACTCTGAGATTTATAGCAGGCACGCACTCTATAAATCAGGCAGAGCTGTTTTTTCCACCTGCTGCGCCATGCACGACAAAAACGGGCCATCGACGGCGTGGTCTCATGTTAGCTCGGGAAATGAACCAGAGGCCAGCTCTTAATTGTCTGCTGACAGGAACTGTGTCCACGCTGTCCGTCCGCAGTACACTAAAGGGGCGAGCTGGTGGGACACGGCCGGGACGGAGAGGAAGGGGGAGAAATGAGAATCTTGTTTCTGCGTGACATCGTTACCGCCCTTCACGAGCTGCACTGGGTGCTGAAGGGAGGTAAGAGCTGCCCAGCTGTAACTCGAGCTCAAGTCAGCAAGGACGCTGAGTGCCTGTGACTTCACTGTCACCACGCTAGGCGCTGTGCTCACGTGCTGTCCACCATCAAGAGCTTGAGTTTAGAGACTGGTCAGGAGACTTTCGAAAACCCCTGATGCTCACAGAATAGCAACAAGGATACCTCGAGAGTTGCGAATACTAAATGAGAAATACATTTAGTATTTCCGCCTAGAGGAAGGCCCTGCAGAAGAAAGGCCATCGACAGATTTTAATTCCACCGCTCGTCGCGGGTACTAAAGATGTTAACATCTGGTGTTGCAGGAGAACACGCGTTGAGACTGGCTGCTTCCCACCGGGGTTACTGCAGTAACGGATGCCAAACCATCCAAGCTGGCACTGCTAATAATTTCTTGAAACCGTAATTTTTGGTGTGCCATTTCCAAATTCGAGAACTGGCAACGATTCTCTGTAGCTCATCCCATGCAATGTAAGCATCAGTGGATGGGACTTTCATAGAGTCCAGCCGGTAGGAGTCTGTGAGTAAACAACGAGGCCGGTCTTTTGCTAACGAGACCCTGCCTTTGCTCACAGTGGAGTCGAGTCCGAGCACGCATGATCTCGAACCTTTCCGACTCCTGTCAGGCTGTCAGGCACTACTTGTGAGCATTCAGACACACCAGACTGAATTTTTTTCTAAGCTTTTATCTACGTAACCAGTTTCTTATACCTAGAAGGATCTCCCTCAACAGCTAACGAAATAAGATATAGCATTTTTAAAAGCTCACCTTAGTTTTCACCAAATGACTATTTTGATAATTCCATCTCTTACTGAAATTTTCTTCCTCTAAATACTAATCAGGAGAGAACATCAGACCACACAGCAGCCCAGGAAAAGCTCAAAGCTCAGAGATTCAAGTACGGTTTCTACTGAATGCTTATTGCTTTTGCACCATGGTAAAGTCCAAAATTTGTAAGTCAGTGTTTGTCTGTGTATATAACGAAGGCCTAAAATAGTTTAATTATGTTTCCCACTTATCTACCCAAATGCAGTGTGAATATTCCATCTGATAAGTAAGGAAATCAAATCAAATCCCATGTGCACGTACTTCCTCTTCTGTAAAAACCTAAGTGTTTCTCCCTGTTCCTCTTCATAAATAGCCCTGGATATTATATGTAAAACAAATACAAGAAAACTCTGAAATGTAGATGAAATATGGAGAGAGGAAAGGAAACTGGACTGAGGTCTCGGGACCTGAAACTACGGTGGAGGTGAGTTCCCCCTGGGTTTCCTTCTGGCCTCATCTTGAACTTGGAGCTGGAGAAGCTGGCGACCTGAACACGGTCAAA